AGAGGCATGCGTGTGCCCTGCTCACGCACACGCGTGTGCATGGAAAGCGGGGGACCCGCTCGCACCCACCGGCTGAGATTGCGGGGGTGCTGGGCTCACTGGGTACCCCAAAGTTTCCCCTTGCAGGGGCCGGGTCTCCAGCGCTGGGTGAGGAGGGGCACGGGTGGACAAAACCCCTCGGGGGGGTGCTGGAGGACACCTCAGCCCCCTGGTGTGCTGCCACCAGCTGCCAGGGTGGGCTGAGCCCACTCACCTTCCTCACCAGGATCCCAGTCAGGGGCTTGGCAGCTTGAGGATGAAGGTGGCCACCAGCTACCTCCCCCCCGCCCCCCCCAGCAAGAACTGCTGTCAGTTTGGTTTGCTGATATGGAGGATTTCAGCCATCCCGGACCCTGAGGGTCCGCAACAGGCCCTGGACCAACCGCCTGGACCTTCCCACAGCCATGGAGGGGCAGGGAAAGAAACCGTGTAGTCACCAGAGCCCAAGGTCTTGCTGCTCCCTCCGGCTTGGCCCAACAGCTCTGTGCATCAGCAGGATGTGGGTGGCCTCCCCCAGGAGCTCAGACACCGGGGACAGAGATGTGGAGGACATCTCTGCACAGCCCCCATCAGGCTGGGGTCTGGGGTGACAGACTCAGGGTTACCCCCAGCCTGGCCCTGGTGCAGCACAAGGGGTGTCCAACCTGCAGCCAGGACAAACAGACACCAAAAATGCAAGCTAAGCACCCAGGCAGGGTTTCTGCCACAGACACAAATTCCCGGTGTTGGAGGGGTCATCCCATGAGCACATCGTTGCAGGGCACTCTCACACCCTCATGGAAAGTCCAGTTTTGGTGGAGAAGGCCCCCTGACAGCCCCAGCCTGTCAGATACCCCTCCCCCCTGCAAGGACCACCAGCACCACCTTCCCCACTGCGGTTTGACCCACAGCATCGGCCACAGCTCCTCCTCGCTCAGCCCCTCGCCCTCCCCTCCGCCGGGGTGGCCAGAGCAGAAGCTGCCCCCACCCCAGTTCCATGGAAGGCTCAGCCACCTGCAATTTTTAGCACAAGGCTTTTTCTCGTGAGGTTGCTGTAGAGCAGGATCTGGCCGCCGGGCCGACAGCGCGTGGGTGGGTTTGGCTTGGAGCAGAGCCCCTCTCCCCGATGAGCTCAGCCTTATCCTGACCCCCCCAACTCCGTAGGATGAAAGCGGCCGGTGCGGGGCAGGCAGCCTCAGAGGCGATGGGATGCTCTCGCATCAGGCAGAGAGCCAGGAGCCGGTTTATTAGCTGGGGAAGGAGTTTTGGAACTGGTCAACACTCAGTCACAGCCCATAGGATAGGCAGGGACACCTTCAGCCATTCCTTCTGCCAGCACGGCCACCATGCTGCAGGGAGCCCTGGCCCTGTGCAGTGACAGCTTTAAGAAAATAACTTTAAAGGATCGCCTGCCCTCAGTTTCTTTCTTTGGTCAAGCCTAAAAAGCTGCAGCGTGGACACCATGCTGGTGGAATGGCATTTTGCACACATCTGTATCACGCACATCTGCCTGACTTGCCTAATGAAAGGAACCCCGTTCCCCGCCTCCCATAGAGGCTGTGCCAGTGCCGATCGGGTGCGTACTGAACTGGGACAGCCCCCCGCCACGGGCAGGGGGGTACAGGCTGAGCCCCCAACCTCCTGCACCCTATTGCAACCTGAGCCTCCCAACCTTGGGGTCTCCCACCTTCAGCCCCTGCTCCTGTAGCGTCCCAGGGGATGGCGGTTGACAGCCAGCCCTGTGTCCCTGCCGGGTCTTTGGGGGGGGGCTTGAGCCTGGGATCACCCAGTAATGCTCAAGGGGGTGAGGGGACCGTGTGGGTACCCCAATCCATGGCAGGTTGTGCACCCCACTGCCGAGGGGGCAGTCGGTGTGTCTGGGCACACCGACACTAGTCCCATTGTCCCTCCTCCTTCTCTTGCAGCTGGGAAGGTGAGGCCACCATGTCGATGCTCCTGGAGCCCGGGATGCAGAGTCTCCGGATGGGTAAGGCTGCTCCCCAGGGATGGCGCCCAGCGGGGACAGCAGTGGGTGGGGGGGTCCCTCTTGTCCGTCCCCCCCCTCCCATCTCCCCACCAACAGGGACAAGTTCTCTACAAGCGTGACACTGTGGGCCCCTCTCCCATCACCTCCCCGTGCCCGCCGGTGTCCCCACCACCACTCCCCCAGCCGTCCGCCCCCTCCGCAGTCATCCCCCCGTCTGCGGCACGGAGGAGCCCCCCACGCTGCTCCTGCGCTGGAGTAACCAGAACCAGCTGCGGCCGAGGAAACTCGACCCTGCGAGCAAATGCAAGCCGGGGAGCAGCCTGAGCAGAGAGGCCATTGCAAGAATTAACCCCCTGCAGGGTCGCCCCAACACCCCCAAATCAGTGGGAGCTCCGTGCCCACACGCTGGCTGGTGCCATCTCCAGCTCTGAACCCACAGGAAAGATGCTTCGTGTTTGTGGCCCCGGGATGGGTCTCCAGAGCCGCAGGCTCAAAGCTCAGCTTGGGCAGTGCTTTTCCCCCTCCATGGTCAGGGGACACCACCAGCCTCCCCCCTACACACACTGCGGGGGCTCTGCCAACACACAGAGACGCCCGGAGGGACGTTCCGGTTTGTCGGGGATCAAATATTCATGGCACAGACACGGGATACAGCGAAAGGCACTTACGGAGCAGGTGTGAAGGGACCAGAGCTGCGTCGCGACAGGGAACAGCCGAGCGACCGGCACAGCTCCCAGGGGCACGTGGCACCGGCACAGCACCGTCCCTGGCACTGCGGCACCGAGTCTGGGGCAAGCGATGTGACGGCGACTCGGCTCTCAGTTGGCCAAGGGGATAAAGCATTGGGGATCAGCCAGGACCCTCACTGCCAGGACAGGGCCGAGGGGAGGTCCCAGAGCACCCCTGCTGCAGGCTCTGAGGCTCCTGAGCTTCCAGAAGGATTTAGGGAGCTGCCCCTTGGCCGACCTGGTGCAAACTGGTCACAGCGGGAGCTGGGGTGGATTCACCTGGATGCGGACACCAGCTGCCAGCACCCTCTGGCAAAAGGAGATGTGGGTTTTACACTTCCCCGAGGAACAACCGCAGAGCCTCCACCATCCACAAACCCCACTATAGTCCAGCTGGGAGCGGGCGCTGCTTGTCCCTGCTTCCATGGGTCCAGATCCCAGCAGGGTCCTGGCACGGAGCCCCAAGCCCAAAGTGTGGGTCGCGGCAGAGCCCATGGGGTGGACAGTCCCTTGGCCTTCCTGGTGTCACCACCGGGACCCCACGTCCCATTCCCAGCATGGCCATACCCCGACCAGAGCCAGGGCCGGCCAAGCCCCTTGGGAAAGGTGGCCCCACTCCATCAGCTGCCCCAGCCCCTTCCGGGCTGTCCCCCACCAACAGCTGGAGCCCGTCCACCAGCTCATGCTTTTGCAGGGTGGATGATTAATCCCCTCTGCTAATTGGAGCCATGTGGCAGGAGGAGTGCAGGCAGCAGGCAGCCCCCGCGCCGCGGGCATTCGAGATGACCCCAGGGCTCATCCCGTCCCCACGAGGGCTGGGCTGGGGTCCAGGCGTCCCACTGGAACTTCCACAGCAACCCCAGCCCAGGCTGACAGACCGGGATTAACGGGGATCCCTGGGACAAGGCTTCTGCTGCGGGAGGAGCTGTTTGGGGGGTTCACCCAAGGAGATGCAGAGCTGACTGGTGTCTCCAGCAGGAGGAAAGCCCCACTGGGCCAGGAGCTGCAGACCAAGGCGCCTGTCCCCGTGTCCCGCTGCAGTGCAAGGCAGCGTGATCCTCCCCGAGCTCCTTGCGCAGGCAAAACCTCAATGTCTCAGAGTTGTCATGGGCTCACACAGGAGTTATTGGGTCTCCACCAAGCTGGGTTGTTCTGCAACATGGCCACGGGTCTGAGCTTGGGCACACCTCCCCTCACCGGGGGCTGAGGAGCTGGGTCTCCACAGCCTCAAGCTGCAGACGCTCTCTCTGCCTCAGTAGCTCACCAGCATCTCTTTTCCAAGTTTTCCCCCCTGTTCCTGCTGGATACAAGCTTTTCAGCTGCTTGCCTGGAGCAGACTCTGGCATCCTTTGCCGTTGTCCCTGCCAGCCGTTGCCAAGCTGAAGTAGCATGTATTTATGTGATGATGGCTGTCTTGATTTAAAAATAGGCAGCTCTGGAGAACCACCATGTCCCTTACTGCTGCAAACACGTCATGGGTTTTTAGTCCTGACTCTTCTGTCATCAACTGCAAGGAATTAGACCCGGCTGCTCCTTTGCTGGTCAAAGACCACTGCAGTTCCACTTCTCTGGTTCCCCTTCAGATGTGCCAGGCAGGATCCATCCCACCTCAGCTTGCTCATCTACAGGGGAAGTGTCTCCATCTGCAGCCACCCCCAAAGAGTCTCTGTAGAGTCAACGGGGAGAAACTGGGCTTGCAGGCTCACCTGACTCATTTTAGATACTGGCTTCAGGACGAGACAACTCTTCCTCCGTGTGCAACTTCCTCTCCGGAGGTGGAGAAGACATTGAACCTGTGTCGCATCACCAAAGCCTGCCCACACCAGCGAGCTGAACCCCTCCCTGAAACATCATGACCAACTCACCCTGACCCATCTTCTTGCTGAGCAAGAGTTGACGTCCCCCAGCCCCAGAGGAGAAAGTCCCTCAGTCCTGCAGCTCTTCTCTGGCCACTGTCCCCATCCTCTGCACGGGTTCAAGTCCTATACCCAAGAGGAAGGGATCCCTGTGAGCTCACCAATGCCAACACCAGGCACAATTGGTTTCTGCACCTCCTTATGATACCTCCAAGTGGTTCCTCATTTGCTAATTAAATCTATGCTGATTAGATCCTTCCTTACACATGGCTGAAAAAAAAAAAAACACGTGGGAAGTCTCCTGAGCCCAGAAGTGGCCCATGCAGAGCCCACCAAGAGCAGCCCCTGCAGCAGCCCTGACCCCACCACTGCCAAACCTGCATCGGCACTGGCTGCATCTTCATCGGGATATCAAGTGTTGCCCTCATCTTGGGGAAGGGTCTTCAGGAGAGGTCCTTGGATCCCATCCAAGTCTTACCCTGCTGTGTCCCCAGGTGCCAATGGTGAGCGGTGCCCCACGCCGTCCCCTCCTGGCTCTCCAGGGACACCCCACGACAGCTGCAGCATCGCCCCGCTGACGCCCTCCCAGTCGCCGGTAAGGGAGTTGTGGGGTCCCCTGGGGCTGCCAGGGTCTGGGTCCCCTGTGTTGTCCCCTCTGATCCTCCCTTGATTGGTGGTCTCCCCCCGTTGCCTCCCTTCCTGGTCTGGTTGCCATCCCCACCACGCACCACGGTATCAGCTGAAGGATGGGTCAATCTATCACCAGGGTTCAAATCCCCTCCCTTAGCTGTGGGATTTATGGGATGGAGGCTTTTTCCAGCGCAGGAGGCAGGAGTGGAGCCAGAGGAAAGACCAGCATAAGTCCTTGCAAAACTCCTGGAAACTCCTGGTCTCCAGCTGAATGTCCCAGGGGACTGCCCGGGGTGGAAGGACACACACAGGGAGTGTGCTGGAGCCGGTTCCTCCCCGGCGCTCGCTGTCCTGGCAGCTCCCTGAACATGCACATTTCTGAGAACCACTTCACCCATGCTAATCGCTGGCTTTTTTTTTTTTTTTTTTTTTTTTTTTTCTCACAGCTAGCTAATGCCTGCACTTATCAAATCTGGATATGTTAAAAGTTAATGAGGGCTTTTAGCTTTCCACGTCTGCCCCGCGTGCTGGGAGGCTGCGGCAGCGCGGGGCGGTGACAGGGGCACGGGGATCGCTGTGTCTTCACGGCTCCTTTGGCACCACCGCTCCCCGCCACCTCCATCTGCTGCTGTGGGCACCGAGGGATGGAGGCGAGGGATAGGGGCGCGAAGGCAGGACCAGAGAAGCATCGGCTGTGGGACGCAGCACGGGGAACCCCTTAAAGCACTGGGGCCAGGAAGGTTTTCAGTTGGGTCACCCACGGGGACACCTGGGATGAGGTGCCTTGGAGCGAGATCAGGAGCAGGGAAGGTTTTGGGGTATCTCAGCTAAAATTTGCCAGGGTTCAAGTGTGGAGCGCTCGGCGCCACCCTAACCGGGGGAGAAATGGAGACCCCGACCACCACCCCAGGCGGCTCCTGTGGGCAGAGGCTGCAGGCACCCATCCCTCCCCGGGACTGCCCAAATCCCCTTGTCCCATAAGCCTCTTTGGGAACAGCCACAGGGACATCCCAGAGCCCAACACAGACAGTCCCTCTTCTCGGTGATTTGGAGCTGTGTAAGAGAAGGAATTGCCCCATGTTGTCGCCATCACCGCAGAGGAAACCTCAGCATCACTGTGTCTCTTGCCCAGGCAGAAACCACGGTTCCTGTGGGCCTGATCCAGGAAAAATTAACCCTTTCACTGATTTTTTTTTTTTTTTTGCCCCTTTTCTGGAAGCAGCCAGCTCTGCTTCGATGCTCGCCTGCAGGGCAGAGCCTGTCCCTAACAGCCGCCCTTGCCTTTCAGAGGAGCGAGGCTCGATCCCAGCAAACCGCCTCCTTCGCCGTGGTGGTGGCCATCGACTTCGGCACCACCTCCAGCGGCTACGCCTTCAGCTTCTCCAGCGACCCTGAGGCCATCCACATGATGAGGTGAGGAGCAGGCAGAGGTCCAAGAGCTGCTCCCAGGGCTGTTAAAGGACATTTTGCGCAAAGCTGCTGGAAGTTGGCGTGCTGGGAGGGAGGGAGGGATGGATGGATGGATGGAGCCAGGCTGGGCAATGAACATCCACACCATCACGGCTGAGGGATGCTGCCTGGGAGCAGGTGGTGGAAGAAGCCTGTGAAGGTCCTTCCAGTACCCAAAGGGGGCCTACAGGAGAGCTGGGGAAGGACTTTTTACAAGGGCATGGCTTCAAACTGAAAGAGCATAGATTTAGATTAGATATTAGGAAAAAAAATTCACTCTGAGGGTGGTGAGGCACTGGAACAGGTTGCCCAGGGGAGTTGTGGATGCCCCATCCCTGGAAGTGTTCAAGGCCAGGTTGGATGAGGCTTTGAGGAACCTGGTCTAGTGGAAGGTGTCCCTGCCCATGGCAGGGGGCCTGGAATGAGATGATCTGCAAGGTCCCTTCCAACCTAAACCTATGATTCTATGAAATGGGTCTTGCACAGAGCAGGAGAATGGGGTGAGAGCACCTCTTTGTTAGCCCTTTGTTACAACAACCTGCATGGGTGCAGAGGACCCCTGCAGGGGTTCCACAGGGAGTAAAGACTCCTCAGGGGTGTTGGTCCCTTCTTTGTCCTTCTTTAAGGTGCTTGAGGTTGTGTCTGTATACATAAATGAAACGGGGCAGGACCCGTCCTCTGGCCTTGAGGTTCACGGGCTGCTGCCGGCTCCTGTCTGCAGGAAATGGGAAGGAGGGGACCCGGGGGTGGCCAACCAGAAGACCCCCACCAGCCTCCTGCTGACTCCGGAGGGCATCTTCCACAGCTTCGGCTACACCGCCAGGGACTACTACCACGACCTGGACCCCGAGGAAGCCCGCGACTGGCTCTACTTCGAGAAGTTTAAGATGAAGATTCACAGCACCAGCGTAAGTCCCTGCTCCCATCCCCACCACCCCAGGGTGGCCCATGGGGACCTTGGCTGGACTGGAAGCGAGCTGAGCTGGCCCCAGGGACTCATCCCACTTTGCAGAAAGCAAAGAGAGGGGTTCACCAGAGGGAGGAGAAATCCGGGAGGGCTGGAGAGGGTCTACAAGCGAAACCTCTGATCATCAACATCCCGACCGAGTGCACCCAGCTCCCTGTTTGCTTTACACACACTTCGCACATCACAACATCTTAGCCCTTTTTGGGGGGGGGGTGGGGGTGTAGGTTTTGGTCCCCCCCCATCTAAGCTGCTTCAGGGCAGGTGGATGCGGCTGCAGAGCGGCTCTTCGAGTGCCCGTACCCCAGCCGGCCTGTTTGGCATGGAGGGGGGGATGATCAACCTGCCCGAGGCTTGCCTGATGGGAGCCGGGATGGGACCCCAGCCACATCCCAGCACCCTCCCTGACCTGTTTGCCTGTTACTGCTCTTCCCGGCAGGACCTCACCATGCAAACTGAACTAGAAGCTGTCAACGGGAAGAAAATGCAAGCGCTGGAGGTGTTCGCCCACGCACTCCGCTTCTTCAAGCAGCACGCCGTGCAGGTAGGACACCCCGGCACCTGAGCCCAGGTCTCCCTGCGCCATCGCGCAGCCCTCCTCTCCCTCCCCAAAACGGGGTACAAGTCATGGGCGTCATCCTCTCCGCGTGTTGCTTCCTTGACCCTTCACCGAGAGCCCCGATGCTCCTGCCAGGAGGGTTCACCTCTCACCTGCTGCTTTTTGCCTGGCAGGAGCTGAAGGACCAGTGCCCTTCCCTGCCTGAGAGAGATGCCATCCGCTGGGTGATCACCGTGCCCGCCATCTGGAAGCAGCCGGCCAAGCAGTTCATGCGAGAGGCTGCCTACAAGGTGAGGGGACACCCCAGGGGGGGCTGTTCCATGTGGTGACGCTCACAGGATGGTATTTTGGGGGGGGGCACCTCCTTCTCCCCCTCTCCCTGCAGCTGCTGCCTGCATCATGATGGGTCTCTGGTTTGTCCCAGTAGCCCAAGGAATAGGAGCTGGACTCTGGCTGATGGACGTGGGCTGGCTTTGAAACCTGGTGTTGGTGGGGTGGGAGGGTTTCGGAGCTGGGTGTGCAGCAATGGGGAGACAAGAGATGGGGACGTGTGCTCCCCCAGGGATGGGGGGCTGCCCCTTGGGTGCTCGGTGCCACCGCTGGGTCCCACCCCTACAGCACGGGTGGTGCACCACCGTCATATGGAGGATGTCTGTGCAATACATAGTGCCTGTAAGGGCACAACGGCCGGGGATGGGAAATCTCTGCCGGAGCACATCCACAAGACCACGGCACACAGGGACGCCCTGATGCACCGGCACCTTCTCTGCCCTGACCCCACCTTGTCCTCCCCACAGGCTGGGCTGGTGTCCCCGGAGAACCCGGAGCAGCTGCTGATCGCGCTGGAGCCCGAAGCCGCCTCCATTTATTGCAGGAAGCTTCGCCTCCACCAGCTGATCGACCTGAGCTGCAAACCCCCGGCCAACGGGCTGGCACCGGACCACTCCATCGACTCCAGCTTTCGGCAGGGTGAGCGGCCGCCGGGGACAGGCGCCGGCAGAGGGTCCTGGTAGGGTGTGGGGCTGGAATAGCAGGAGATGGAGCACACGAAGAATCAGGCCCCCCGGGCCAGGTCTTGAGGGTCCGGCAGCAGCCCTGGGGCACAGCTCAGCAGAGGCTGCAGCGGTGGGGTCCCTGGGCTGAGCACCACCCGTAACCCCGGAGCGGGGTGCCGGAGAGGGGCTGAGGTGCAGGCTGAGAGTCTGACTGACTCCCTCCTGTCCTCCTCCGCTCCTGTCTCTTTTCCATTTTTCCATCCCCTTCCCTCTAATTTTCCCATCTCTGATACTTTAGCAAACGAGACTGGTTCTGGCAAAAGCCATTTGGGTTCCCGCGCAGCACTGGTGTGCACTGGGGTGACCCCTCGGTGGGTGTAAAGCGAGCGCAGCAATCCTGCACCCCTCTATGTGAGGACAGAGAAGGGCTGGTTCCACCGCCACAGGGACCACCAGCCCGCGGCATTGACTAGCGATGGGGGAAACTGAGGCAGAGATGAGTGGGGCACTGTACCGTGGCTGCTCCCCGCCTCTGGCAGCCCTGGGGAGCCCCACTCCCCTCTTTGCCACCCCGTTCCGCCCTCCCCAAACCCACAGGGCCAGGGCAGGCGATGGCTGCTTTCCCAGGAAGCATCCAAACTGTGTGTGCCCCGTGGTCCGAGCCCCTTTCATCTGCCCAGCCCGCCCTTGACATCTGCCCACACCACCCCAGGTCCCTGGGCCGCCTCTCCCCTTCCCTCACCCCACATTTCCAGCTGGAGCCGTTTCTGCTGGCTCAGCCAAAGCCATCCTGGATTCCTCCCAGCAGCTCCGCTCGGCCTCAGCCACCCCAGCCCCTCGCCTTCCCTTTCCCCCAGCCCGGCCCCTCCATACGGGCCAAGCCCTCGGGCTTCCCAATCCCACATCAGCCTCCCCGGCCGATGCCATAACCGTAACTCGGGGACTGGGAGAGGATCCACCCGCTGCTCCGGAGCTGATAGACCCTCCGCTGAGCTGCCTGTGGGGATGCTCACCCCATGCGTGGGAGTCTGAGCGTTGCCTCCACTCCAGTCACAGAGCCGGGGCTTTACCAGAGTAGATCCAGTTTGCCCAGCTGGGACCAGGCCCTGAAGCTTGGATCTGCCAGTGTCTGCAGTCCCTGTCCTGCGTGTGGCCGGAGGGCTGGGGTCACGTCCAGATTCACGAAGGGACTTGAACTGCATCCCAGGGCTGAAGTTAATGAAATTAGTGTGCTGTATCCATCTCGGCATGCCAAAAATAGGCCAGGATAACCCCACCTTCTCCAAACAGCACCCTGCCCTTCCGGGCTGCTTTGATGTCCCCTACCCCGGGGACAGGGGGAGCAGAGGAAACCCCACCCGAGCTGGGGAGAACAGGGGAAGAGGTGGCATCACCCAGGGACAGCTCTGGCACCACAGGCTGGACGCGGTGAGGTGGGATCCCATGAGATCCTGCAGGATCCTGGGCAGAGCAGCAGGGTGGCTGGACCAGCTCCTCCACGGTGGAGCTGAGGCCATGTCGGGTGGGGAGCAGAGTGGGCAACCAGTGCTCCCAGCGCAGCCCCAGCAGCCCCCTCCACAGTGTTTCCCACCTGCTGGGGGTGGGGGTGGGGGGGGAACACAGGGATGCTCCTGACCCTGCTGTCCCCCAGCCTGATGCTGGCCCCTCCGCTCTGTCCCGCAGCCCGAGAGCAGCTCCGGCGGTCCCGC